GTCGCGTCGTCGTCGTCGTCGTCGTCGTCGAGGCTTTGGTCACTGACGCCGTGGTCTTGGTCGCTGTCGTCGCGGTCTTGGTCATCGTCGTCGTGGTCGTGGTCGTGGTCGTGTGGTCGTTGTCATGGTCGATGTCGCCATGGTCGTGGTGGTGGTCATGTGGTCATGTGGTCGTGTGGTCGTGCCCGTGGTGGTCGTGGCCGTGGCCGTGGCCTGGCCGCGGTCGTGCGGTCGGCCGCGTCCCGCACTCGCTGAGGGTCGCTGTCTTACGCGCAGCCAAGACGTTGAACTTAGGGCCACTTCGGGTTCAGGAGGTTTGTTTTCGGGCCGTTCCTCAGATCCAGGTGGGAACCCATTCATATACGCCCGTGGCCAGGCCCATCTTGGGCCCAGGTTCGGTGTACACGCCCTCCGTTGCCAAGCTGGGGAGTGCGTATAGACCGATCCTGGGCCAAGGACAGGCCTGGCCGGGGGCGGCGTACATGTCTATGGGCCCTATATCGCCCGGGTGCAGCCCCGGAAGAAAAACAGACTGCGTAAACATGAACTGGATTTCTTGGATCGGGGGATCTGGGGGTCGTGGATCGAGGGGTCGAGGGGTCGAGGGATCGAGGATCGTGGGATCGAGGATCGAGCCGATCCCCACGGAGTTCCGCGCGGATTTCTTGGATCGGTGCCTGATTGGAGCGTAGGCGCGGCGCGCCGGAGGCGCCGCCAGGAGGGTCCCACCGTCGATCGGGGAAGGTCGCGCGGAGCTCCGAAAGTTTAGATGTTTGTGCAGCTCGCTCTCAAGTTTAGTTTTGGTATACCACACTTAAGTCGGGCACGTCCCTCTACAGGAGTAATAGTCAAGAATAGTCAGAATATAGTCAGGGGACGATTTTTTGAGCATGTTTTGATCATCTTGTAATATGTTTTGATTATTTCTCATTTCTCTTCCAAAGTCCGCCTGTAGGAGGACACGCCCGATCTAATACCACCCGCTCAGTCAGTTTCCACCGCATGGGGCCACGTTTTGCATGCAACGGCCACGCCCCAGGGAGGGAATGGAGTTCTGTATGCCAGGCTCACGACCAGGAGCCTTGCCCCCCCCCCCCCCCCCAGGGCTGTCGGGGTATGGTAAGCTTTTCGCTCGGGTGGAACTGGTTCTTCCTTTAAGTCGGGCCTCTCCCTCTAAATGAGGAATATTCAAAAATAGTAAAAACATAGCCTGGGGACGATGTTTTGACCATGGATGAATATTTTTAAAGAGTATTTTGGGGGTATTTTCCAGTGTTCGCCCCCCCCCCCCCTGCAGGGGGACAGTCAGGAGGGGACAATAACACACAGACAAAATGAATCGCCGATTCCCAGGAAAAGATGGAAAGATATGGGAAGTGGGGGGAAGACAAACACCAAGAAAAGATAGGAAAACATATGGGGAATCTTTTTTATTTGTGTCTATTTTATGTGTGTGTGTGTGTCTCAGGGCCCCTTCAGACAGGCCCGACCTAATTCCCTCTAAATGAGGAGTATGCACAAATAGACCAAACAAAGTCAGGGAACGATTTTTTGACCATGTTTGAGTATGTTTGGAGAATTTTGGGGGTATTTTCAAGTTTTCGCCCAACATCCCCCTGCAGGGTGACAGGCCCGACCTAATTCTTCCTCCTGAGCCCGCGGCGCCGACGTCCTCCCGAGGTGTGGCAGCTGCGGGCGCCGGAGGGGGGTGTCGTCGGCGGGTACGTCCACCCCAAGCAGGCGCCGCGAGCGCCCTCCGCCGCTCTGCCGGTGTGCGCCGCCGCCCTCGCCCTTCGCCTCGGGTGCAGCGATAGGGGGGGAGGAGGAGGAGGGGGAGAGATGTAGGAGTAGGAGGGAAGTCGGAGGAGGAGGATGTGTGAGGAGGTAGGAATGTAGAAGGAGGAGGAGGTAGGAGGGACGGAGGAGGAGGAGGTAAGAGAAGGAAGGAGTAGGAGGAGGGAGAAGGAGGGAGGAGAGGAAGGAGTGGAGTAGGGGAGAGGAGGAGGAGCGGATGTAGAGGATGAGAAGAGGAGGAGGAGAGGAGAGAGAGGAGGAGGAGGAGGAGGAGTAGTGCGAGGAGAGAGGAGGAGGAGGAGGAGGAGGAGGAAGGAGGAGGAGGAGGAGGAGGAGGGAGTGAGGAGGAGTCGAGAGGAGAGGAGGAGGAGGAGGAGGAGGAGGAGGAGGAGGATTGAGGAAGTAGGAGGAGGAGGATAGTAGGAGAGGAGAGGGAGGATGCTGCGGAGCGGCTTCGAAGCTAGTAGGAGTAAGTAGGAGGCGAGGAGGAGAGGAAGGAGGAAGGGGATAAGAAGGCGGATTAGTTAATTATTAGGAGGAGAAGGAGGATAAGAAGAAGGAAATACATAAAAAGACTGAGAAGAAGAAGAAGAAGAAGAAGAAGAAGAAGAAGAAGAAGAAGAAGAAGAAGAAGAAGAAGAATAAGAAGAAGAAGAAGAAGAAGAAGAAGAAGAAGAAGAAGAAGAAGAAGAAGAAGAAGAAGAAGAAGAAGAAGAAGAGGAGGAGGAGGAGGAGGAGGAGGAGGAGGAGGAGGAGGAGGTAGGCTCAGAGGTGGGATGCATCGACCCCCAATCGCCCACTGATCGTGGATAAAAGGCTGATAGCCCCACCCCGCCCAGGAACGCTCGGATCTGCCGTCGAGGGGCACTTGCCGATGCATCGGCGATGTATCGCCGGTTCCAGGTCGATGTTGCCCCCTGCCCCCTCTGCCGCTGCCCCTGCCGACCCCCCCCCCCTCGGGGCGTGTGCAGGAAGGCGGCGGGGGGGGGATGTAGAGACAGGCCGCAGCCCACAGGGCTCGGGTCGGGCGCCCGAGGCCTGAGGTCATCGGGCGATTCTCGTCGGCCCTCGGCGCTCTTCCCCAGCCTCGGGGGGCGTCGTGCCGCAGCGCTGCCTCGCGAGGGCCCTCCGGGGGTGCCCGAGTCGTCCCGAGAGTGGCCGCTGGAGGCCAGAGCTGCGGCCAGCAGGCCGGACGACGAGGGCCACTCGGGTCGGACGCCAGGGGGGGGGGGGCACGGGGGAAGAAGGGGGCGGCGGGCCCTGCTGTCTGCCGCTGGGTTTGGCCTCGCCGCGGGGCGCCGTCCTCGATGCACCTGGCGCCCCGCGCCTCCAGCCCCAGCTGCGTGAGCCCCCCCCCTCTTGGTATCCCCACGTTCCCGACCGACCCAAGACAGGAGGGACGGGACGACTTGTCCGATGCGGTCTCGCCTCCAGCCAGGCCGGCCAGGTGCGATTCGATGCCGATGCTCCGACGACCCGCTGCGGCCCTGTGCCCGCCTGGGTGCTGCCGCGCATCCCGATTCCGACGCACGATCCGATCCGATTCCGCCTCCGTGCGGGTGCGGCCCGATCCGACGCACTGTCCGATTCGATTCGGCTTCCCGAGTCGATGCTGGGTGATTTTGTTCGGAGCGAAGCGGAAAGGGCAGGAGGGGAGGATGGAGACAGGAGAGTCACCACCCACCAGGACAGGACAGGAAGAAGCCGCGCCTAGACGGCGCATCGGCTCACATTGGCGTGAAAACGAAGGCCAGAAAAGGAGCAGAATGTTCTGCCGAATGCACGTGCGCCGGGTCACAGCCACTCTACATAAACCAGTGCTGGGCGGCGGGTACCAGTACGTTCGCACATCGCACACTGAACATGCAGGAGGGGAGGGGGAGAGGGAACGCGGAACGAAAGGGAGGAGAGGGGGCAGAAAGGGAAAAGGGGAACAGTATTACATACAATGATCGTCATTGGCTTTGCGCCATTGTGCTGGAGAGCCTTGCAGAAGATCGTGCAGTGCAAATGGTCAGCGTTGCAGAACCACCTGGAGAGCCTTGCAGAAGATCCTGGAGAGCCTTGCAGAACCACCCACCAAACCACCCCAATTTCATCCGAAGGCCCCAAGCTGCCCTCCATTCCCAGTGGGGGGGGTGTCGGGGAACACTGAAAAACCAGCTGTGGAGCCTGTACCCCCTCCTAACCCGGAGTTGGGGTCTTCGGTTTGGGCTGGGGTTGCCTGGTGGGCAGTCCGGGGCAGGAGATATTTCTGCCGCCCCCTCTGCCCCGCTGCTGTTTTGCTCTTGCCCGTCCTCTCCCTCCTCTCCCTGCTCCTCCTCGTCCTCGTCCTCGTCCACGCTCCTCTCCCTGCCCCTCCTCGTCCTCGCTTCCCGCGTGCCCTCCTCAAAAAATTGGATCCGATCGATTTCTGGGCTCGAGGGGCCGATCCTCGGGGATGCCCCTCCATGGGGGCTGTTCGGACACACCCCTACTGCGGATGCTCCCCATCGTGTGCCCCCAAGTTTGGTGGTGGCCCCAATCTTCTCTCCGTTCGAGAGTCCCACAACGCCAGAGGTTGGGGTCGCCCCCAGCGGCACCTCCGGCGCCGCCCCTGGCGCGCTCCGCGCGCCGGGGAGGGGGGACCAGCGCCGATGCTCTCATACCTCTTTCGACTATACGTTAAGAGTGACCCTTCGCCAGACTGACCTTTGGTGCGGGCTCATCGGGGTCCCCCCATCGCTGAGCGCGATGCGATAGCGTCTGCTTGTGCGCTTGGATTTGGCCACCTTGCGCCCCCCTTAGTCCGCGCACCAAAGGTCCCTCTTGCCTAGGGTTGTGGAGGACGATCAATGGAGAGGAAGCATGTTGCCAAAGAAATTCCAGATGTCTAAACCATGTGTTGAAACATGTTTTAACACGAAAAAACATGTTTAAACATTGTTGAGAACATCTTTCCGTCATTCTAAACACATTTTAAATTGTTGACGCTTCGCGAATCCCCACCAGCCCATCCAGAAACGCTGCCCAGAGGAATTGCCTCGATCAGGGAAGTGGGCAGCACACAGAGGAAGCCATTATGAGACATCTTGGGATATCTGAGAGAGCGTGATCCACCGCCGCTTTACTGTGGGAAATTGCCGCCCTTTTCCTCCGGAACCCGGGGTTCCCCCCCCCCTCCGAA